TTGAATTCATATATCTTGCATAAAGAGATTGGAAATTGAATTTTTTTCATTGTTCTAAAAATCTACGTATACAGTAGTGTAAAAATATAGAATCAGTTTGGTGGCAAAAAAATTCGATTTTTTGAACGTATTCTTTGATATTTTGATTATCATAAAATTAATTTATTTTTAATGAATGTCAAAAAGTTCAACGTACATGCGCCTATTGCAGATTTATTTGTCTTTTTGATATGCTCATTTCCACCATGATAAAAGGGTGAACCTGAAGTTTGAGGTTAAGATCAAGAATGATTTAATAATTTTAAATTTTAAATACCAACGATACTTTCTGATTAATGTCTTTTTTCATTTTTATTACATAATATAAGTAGAGAAAATATAAAAGTTAAGTACTAATATTTACGAGTAAAAAAACACATAAAAGTAACAGTTAGCAAGAAGAAAACAATCCCCGACGAAGAAAAAATCTGGACCTGCAAAACTATTATTCGTATATCTGCGCCTATTTATCTTTTCATGAAAAATTATACCTGAAAAATGTCAATCTGACGTTTGGGCGAATATTTTTCATTTGTAACTAATGAATAAAAAACGAGAAAAAACTGTCAGAAGTTCTATCAGCATTATTTTCATTTACACCACAGCCAATTCTAAGTTAAATGTGTCAATGTTGTCGTAGTTGAATCGGTATCTTTTTTCTGTACACTATTCGGTGTTGTTAATGTTGTTGAAGCAGGATTTGCTGTTGTTCTTGGATTAATAACGTTATCGTATTGTGAATTAACGCTCTGTTGTCTCACATTTTGAATAAAATCCTAAAATATAAAACAAAAATTTTATCATGTTTAGTTAGTGTGAACGTCTCTTATACATTAGACCAGCAAAATAAATATTGACAAACCTATTACAGGAGGTTAATAGTGTGCTCTTGAAAATTTAGAATACAATATCATGATTTAGTGAGTACATCGGTAAAATCAAATTGAAGTAATTGCATATGTGTTATGAAACCTCATTTATTATTGCGTAAAACAACAACGTTGTTTTTTCCATTGTTATTCTAATAAAGTGTCTTGGTATATTGTATAATAAAACAAAAACATTTGTTTGCTACATGTTTTGATCAACTTTATTCACATAATCACTCATCAGACTGGGAAACTCATTTGTTTTCCATTATTACAGCATATTTGCTCTACCTTAAAATGTTAACTGACGTTCATACTTTCTTTGTGAGAAAAATTTGTTACATCATATACAAAATGTTATTTGAACTATTTATTATTATTTTTATGCTTCGTTTATATCGTTGCGGATTCAACAAACATGATGTCTGTCAAACACTTTGACATGAACAGATGTATAAGAGAAAGAGAGAGTTTTTAATGTTGTATTAAATACATTTGCTGATTTAATACTATTGTTCTTATTTTTGCTGTTCTCTCTATTTACATAATATAAACGATAATTGTTCAGTAACATACGGTACTAGTATGATTTATTCGATGTCCTTGACTGCCTAATAACATCTTAGAAAGTTGTAGATATTTTATTTATTTATTATTCTTGTATGGTGAGAAACACATTAACTTTTATAGGCAGACGCTTTACTCAAATCTATCAATTCTCTATATGTTCAGTTTTAAATGATATAAAAGTTCACATGTATCCTTGAATTAGACAACATATTTTCCTGCCCAACTTTAGATGTATGACCATGTCAAATAAATGATCTTTTTTTCTTCTTATATAATGTTCAAATGACAAGGCTTTTATAAACAAATGATAATCGATGAAAAAAACTGTCACTGACTAGAAATTGATGTCAATCAACAAAGTATTATACGGATTATAAAAAATACTGACTAGGAAAAGTCACGTTTCGCATGTTTAACGAACTAATCAATTTGTTGAAGGTTATCGGAAAACAGAGAACTAACCTGTGACAATACATCGCCATTGGCACGTCGAATACGATAAAAATAACGAAAACGTGCGTGTGAATCGTTGGGAATTATCTGTTCACGTAATGTATCCGTGTTTTGATCATAATGTTGTCGAATTTTTTTTAAATTTGCTGTTTTATATCGTTTCTGGCCAGCACTAATTACTAAAATACAAAAAAAATGAATGAAATGAACATTATTGATGAATTGATGATAAAATTTCGTCCTAAAAGTAGAAAAAGAATGCAACAGTTCTCTCATTGAAATAGATGTTTATATTCATTGTTTGAGCAAAGAATTATAGATTAAAAATGCAGAAAATACTACAACGAATGCAATGTACGATACAAATGGCATACTACTCGGAAAACACTTTCTATTTCCAATTGTATTATATTCTTTTGTAATAAAATGTATAAACTAGGTGAAAAGTTGTTGAAAGTGAAGTGACCACAAAAAATACTTTAAAAAGAGAACATTTTCCTGTAATATATACAATTCCCTGTCATGCCCCCTCAAAGTATAGTCAAGCTCTGTATTTTTCAGCACAATAGTTCATCGTTGACTTTTACGGGTGCTTTTTCTATTCAACATGATAAAGTTAGGATTAAAACAATGGTTACTACTCAATGTTTCAGACAAATAAATTTTGTATCTTCAAGTGTTCAAAGCGTTCTTATATGGTTGATATTGACATCAGAACAAGTATTTCCCCTCCAAATTCAGACAGTATTCAATAGATTCTTTATTTTCAATTCAAATTATAGGTCATTAGGTTGTCAAGTCTAAAATTTCGAAAAATAACAAGAGAGGGGCGATTATTTTTTTCAAGGAGAATACTTTCTCCATCAGAATAACACCGTCAATACCCAAAAGGTTAAAAAAAGAGTCGAAAAGTAAACATGGTCGAGACTGTTGGAATGTTTTGAAACAGAATGTTTCACTAGTATTTCTGCTAATTTTTCTTACTTCTGTTCACACGCATTTTTTTTTAGTTTTGTAATCGAATTTCTCTAAAAAGACCCATTAAAATCTAAAACAGAATTCAAGTTTATCGAAGACTACGCCATCCTTATTCGCTAACGAGGATATTTTTTGTGTCTCGCAAACCGACTCAAAAGTAAGAACAAATTGTAATAAAAAAAAGGGGATTAGACTCTTCTTCCTCTCAAATGACGGACAGTTGGCAATCCTAGTTGGGAAAAAGAACATATAATCATTAAAAAAATAAGACTAAGGATAGTCCAATTAGTTTGTTAAAACTAAACTCTTCACATGTAAATATGTTTAGGTCATGCGTTCGCATTATAATTAGTGGAAACACAAACAATCTTAAGACACGAAACAAATTGCCAGTACAAAATTTATTGAGATCTACTAGGATTATAATATATAATTTTTAATAACATAAACATCACTCGTATCCTTGAAACATCTTTTAACAATCAATTTGGAAATTATTCTGTCTAATAATTAATAGACAAATGAATTGATGTATATGTACTTAACGTTGTCCTTGTATAAAGCTTATAAAGAGATAAAAAAGTATCACTGAACTACTAGATAAATTTCTTTTATAGCTTAAACGTAAAGTATAGGCTGAACATTTTGTGACGGTCGTCAACCATAATGATTAGAATATATATATGAGAATTCTATGGAACAATTTGATAAGGGTGATACGTATACTGTCATATACTAAAAGAATCTATTACTATTAATAAAAATATGACTTATTTAGTTCTTAAAGATTATACATAGAACATGAGACCGATGATCAGATAATTTTAGTAATTTCAAATATAATCTATCGGTGTTATTATCTTTATCAGTACTATTTATTCTTTAGAGAACATTTCTTAATGTGATAGGTTTTTAAATGAATCTATTGATGCTATCAGAAAATATTATACAAAAGATTAAAACATCTACTTGACAATAATAAATAAAAATTATCTTATTTCAAGTTGTTTTAATCTTTTTTACTTTTCTCTCTCAGTAGATAATGTAAATAAATTATTGTTAACAGTAAGCTACTGTTGATCAACTAGAGTAAAGAAAGTGGTTGTTAATTAGCATGAAAATATTCATAATAATCATAAAGAGACTTATACTGTTCATGAAACTCGTTCCACATGGAATCATCGCCAGTAATAAATGTATGCAAAACAACTCACTCACAATAGGGAAAACATAATAGATTTTGACACGTTTATGAATATTAATGATCCCAAAAATAGAGTTCAAGGTCATTGAACACATATACACATTATAGTCTGATACATATATATATATATATACATATATGTTGGCTGATAAGACGAACAAGAAATAAAACGAAGGCTACATATGCACACTTGGGAAATAAAGGTAACAATCAGTCCGATAAAATAAAAAAGAATCTACTTTAAGACGAACAAATACAATTTTATTCTTAAATTTAAGAGGTGAGCAGCTGATAGATCTATCAACTCAAACGGGGTAAACACACACACACACACATATACATTGTAAGCAATTGTTTCATTGAATAAGAAAATAATATTGATGCTTTTTAACATATGAAATAGGAGGAGTGTATGTGAAGCCTAACGGCTATTAATATGATTAAAAGTTCTTTCTTTATATGTTTATGATCACTACTTGAATGTTAAAAAAAATGATTTCTAGTTTGTATTTAATTATTAGGGTTATATTGAACAATTTAGCATTCATAATTTCTTCTCAAAAAGTATATGATGCAAGGAATACGTTAGTTAACTGATGTATTTTAATTTTAAATGCAAAAAAAATATCGTCTATTCGTCTATTTGATCCTTGTATAAGATTCTAATCGGTACATGAATATCTTCGTCTGTCATGTTTAAAATGATCAGAAGATAAAACCCTCCCGTCATATGTACTAAGTAGACATCATACATTTTCTTTAGTATGCTTTTCTTTTTTTAATTCGACGATGTGAGACAAATGTTCAAGTACCTCATTGTCTATTGACAATCAGACAAAAATAAGGTGTGAATATGATTAAACAATAATCTTGAAAAAACATCAAAGACAATTAATCATTTAGTTTAAGATATTTGTGTAAAAAGTTTAAGTTTTTATATTACACCGATAGATAGACGTCTAAAAAGAAATTAATAATAACAAATTAATTATTTATACTTAAAGTATAAAAACTGATATGATCAAAATCAATATTCTCTCTGCATGTCTAATAAGACTAAATATATGAATGATATCACATAAGAGTATACACAGTCTTATTTATAGAGATTCTACAATGAGTAGACGTAATAATTACAAGATAGAAAGAAACATTGTATATAGAAATGAATAAAAAACATACTTTGTTGCCATGAATCTCGATGATCGTAATTTCGTCCAGTACAATTGTATTGTATTAAAATACCGATGACACTAGTTACAACTAAAATAATGGCTACTAGCCAGTGTTTTAAACAAATTGATTTTGTATCTTCAAATTTCAATCGTTTATGTATGTAAATGACTAATGATGCATTTTGTAGAAAATAATCTAGTACAATAAAATGACAAACTGATCCTAAACATGATGATGTAACAATAATCATTAATTTTTGAAAACGTAGTGTTATAGTTGCACATATGGAGCCTATGCTAACAATGAGAATAATGGGTATCCAAAAATTAGTTATATGTTGATTAAAATCCCAAATAATAAATGTTATTATCGATAATATTAAACCAAAACAAAAACCTTGTTCGAATAATCCAACATACTGTAATAGCGAACCAATTAGACCAAATAAAACGGCTATTGAACAAGATATGCCAATTATTTGTGCTTCATTTAAACTTTGTTGACTTGATAAAATTATGTACAATAGTAAGGATGATAGATTAAATGCAGTTATGAACATTGTTAGTCGCCAACAACGATAACCTTAAAAAGATGATAATATATAGCAACAATTTAGTCAGATATTAATCTACTTACCAACTATAGTATAGAATAAACCAATACCAGCTAAAAATGAATAGGCTACAAGCCATGGTAAATCGTAGGACGATGGTAATTTATGTTCACAATAAATATCCGAACGATTATAACTAATATTTCTTATGTTTGCTGCCATGCTTTTAAGATGTGATTGTTTCATAGTTACAATGTATTTATATCCATCGAACAGAAACAAACTATACTTTATGTACAGATTCACGCTCACTTTATATGTTCGAATGATCTTCTTCCTTATTATTGTCGATAAAAATAATCTGAAAAGAAGAAAAGAATTACATTTATTTTTTTTTATTTTGTGATTATAGAGAAAGATTTTATTCTTTATTTCAGATTAATGCTTTAGTTATGTATCTTCTTTTATGTTTCATTGAATGAGTGTTACAAGAACAAAGTTATTCCACTAATTATTGTTTCAATGTCGAATAAGACATGTTTCAATTACGATCAAGGATAGGAAATGTTGAGATCTAATGAAATAAATAAAAAGAGGGTGGACTATCACAGATGACTTCACCAAATATTGAAGATATTTTGTTCAGTTCATCAAACTTTTCTTTATGATTAGGGCCTATTTTATTCTATTTTGAAGAAAATAGACTCTGTTATCTGACGTCAAATACGTAGTGCTACGACGAAAATCGTTGGTATCCTCTCGATTCGTCTCTCATTGGCTTTGTAAGATTAAACAACATCAGAGGTAGATCACATCAAAAGTAGGAGTAAGTAATTAGGGATGAATCGAGACTAAATCATCACTCTTTTGATGATATCTAATGAACATTCTTTCTCTATGCTATAGACAGTAACAGATTAACGATGGGTGCGGTTGCATCCATTGGAAAGAAAAACTTTTGATTTTTCACCAGTAAAAAGAAAATTTTCAATTGTGTTCAGTGTACTCCGCACTCATCGGAATTCTTTTCCTCTGTACTGAATTCATTGGAAAATTTTTCTAGACACATCGCTGGCCATGGATGATCGATATTTACTTACTATTAATTATAATTATAAGGATGTCTAAATGTCAGTGTAAACAACATACTTTTTCTGCCATAACTGTTCATAATAGAGGACAAAATGTATCGAAATAGATGACATTTATTTAAAATTCTTTTGTCTTAATGGATGTGATTTACATATATTCATCATTATCTAATACCGTTGTTATTCAGTGTTTAACGCTTACTTACGTTTTGAAAATCTGAAATTTGAGTTGAAAGCAAAAATATTCTTTTAGGCTATATGTGTTTTTTGAGTCAAGGTTTTATTTTAACAATCATGATCATTTTAAATGAATTTAGTAAAAGAGAACATATGGACAGGCAATGAATTCTTATTAACCATGCATGTTAGAAGAAAAGTAATACAATACAGTTAGATTTCGAGAGAAAGAGATATTGACCTTTTTCTTTTCTTCTGAGGTGTATACTATATATAGCTACTGAAAAAGATTACTACACATTCTTATTACATAATCGAGAAAAAAAACTTTTTTTATCTTTCTAAATTATCAAGTGTCGCGCTCTTTAAATCCTTTCTCTGAATATTAGACAGATGCTTAGTTAAAGTTATTGTTTGCTATAGACATTTTTCAAAGCGGTGATGATCTTTTCTTAGAATCAATCTATAGTAAGCAGTTGAACAAAGTATTTATGACACTTATAAGAAAGAAATTTAGTAATATTATTAGAAGAAAACTTCTCGTGACAATCTAAATGATTTAAATTGATTATTTGTGTAAAATATACTTTTACCGTTTTTAGTATCAATTACCTAATAAACCCATTACCATTTCGATTATATGATAGGCTCTAAGTTGAATAAAACTTGTAAGAAAAATATACACTGTACACAACCTGAATGATGTTTAACGTTGATGTTGAAGTGTATAGTATGCGGTTTTTTATTATCAACTTCATTTTGACTGTATAGACGACATAAATATGAAAAAAAAACGGAAAAACGCTATATATAGTCTCTACATCATGGAGATAGAATCTTGATCGAGAGAAGAAGAAAAGTATAGGTCTGTCTTTTTTTTTCTCGCTCTCTCTCTCTCTCTCGTTTTCTACAACAGCTGATTGTACAGTGGACAATTGATATATACTCAAAAATGAGATAGTCGTAATTTGGAGAGAAACTGCTCAGAAAATCAGATGAATACAACTTATATGTGCATGTATATATAGAGAACAGAGGAAGAGACACGCAGTTTAACTATTTTTCGTTTAATTTCCCTCTAGACTAATGACGTTGCAATTTCTCCTATTGAAGAGTTATGCTTGATGTATGATCTATAAAAACTAATTCCGAAGCTGATCTCATCATGAGAAAAACTGACAATGATCACCTTTGCAGTTTTCTTGAGACATTCGTGGCGAATCAACATTGTCTATTTTTTAGTTAAGCTCATTTTTTCTTGCAAAAAATGATAAGAAGGAAGCACTTTTTCTTATAGAGCGTTGAGAGAAATGTTTGCGCTCCTTTTTTGTTAATTTGAACTTTACTTTGAGAATATTTGATTTTTTTCCTCTTTTAATATGTATAATTAAAGACTCACTTCAGTATGATTTGATAAGAAAATTATTCATAATTACCATTTTACAGAGAAATATTCTAAAAATAAAAAGCTCTATATTCTCGCTAAACATTTTAGTTATTCGTATTATCCATTGGCATTATTTATAGTAGAAATACTGTGCCTGTTGTTTTTATCAAGCATAGTTCTATAGAATTGAAAAATATCAGCATATTTTGGATGTTGTTTCAACGTTTCTGTTATACCTAGTTGATGATATTTAATAGGATCCATCATTTGATTTTTATTTAGTAAAGATAAGGATGCTGATGATGGTTCCCTTTGACTCTCGTCTCGTTTCATCAACGAATTTCTTCCATAATAACTACCTAAAAAAAAAATAACATAGAAACAAGGTTTCAGAGTAGAGAATGTGTATGTGCTCTCTAACCAACGCCGAGATGCGAATGTACGTGATGATAGTGATGATGAGGACCTAAAAAACAATATACTATTAATGCAGCTCATTCTCAGTCTTAATGTCTTTTTACCAAAATTGCTAAATGGCATACAAGAATGATCATGATGATCCCATATGTGATGATCGTTGCAACGAAAATCATTCAGATAACCGTGATTGCATTGCACAAACGAAGTATAGCGAAACGGATGTGGATATGTTGATATTCCAAATGAATCAGGGCATGGGACATGATCTAAACTGACATGATTGATTACAAGAAACACTACAACATCCTGCATTACATACCCACAACATCGACATCAATTTCTGAAAATAATTACCGAAATAAAGCTTGCATAATTGTCAATATTTTACGCTACCTTGTTCTATAAATCTATGTTGATTTTGTATGACACATTTGTACGTTCCACTATTTTCGAATCCAATGTGTGGAAGTGATAATATGGATGAATCGGTTATGACTTTAAAATCTGGTTGACTTCTAGACCTATACAACCAATAAGTTTGTGGATTTGAATAACCCTAAATAGAACTGCCTTATTTGTTTATATTTAATTTTAAATTTAAAACAACTTACATTCAAATTGCAAACTTTCGCAAACATACTTCCATAGGGTGCATAGACATGGTAGGACATAAATGGTCTGAAAAAATTAGTCTTTCCTAAAACGTATTTAAGCAGTTTATATTGATTATACTATGTGGCTGATATAGTACAGAAATATTTCTAACCCACAACTTCCAATATAAATGACCATGTAGCCATGCCGTGTGGATTATTTGCTAGACAATGAACATAACGTGAAAAAATAAATAAAAAATAATAAGATGTATTCTATACCTGTGCAAGTATATGTTCCACTATGTTCAAATTTGACTTGTGGCAGATCAATTCTTGTATCTTAGAAAAATATGAGCAACTAGTCTCTCAGATGAGTATCAGTTGAAAGAGTTACTTCTCAATTTAAAAATATGGCCGAGTACATCAGTAAACCACGTGATTACAGAAATATTTGGTGATCCACTAACAAGACATTCACGTGAAAAACTACTGTTTTCAGGGATAACCACACGTGATTCCCAATCACTGATTAGTGTCGGGGTGGCTAGAATAAAAAAAACTGAAATATTTTAAAAAGGAAAAAGACATTTAATTCTTACCAAACCCTGTTGTTGAATACTTCAGTGTGACCTGAAAATAAACTCAACAACAGTTGTAAGAAGCTTCAAAGACATACACTAGGGGCTAGAAGAGTTTTGGAAACTATTATTACTAAGCTAAAACGTCGCCTTATAACAATTGCGAGTTCTCATTTTAAACCTACCAGCATATTCTGTTCACTTTCTCCTAGTTTGTTTTCTAATTTACATCTGTAAATTCCTTCATCAGATTCAGCGAAATAGATTATTTTCAATAATGGATTATCGGATATTGGCTGAAAATCGTGATGTTTATTTTTGAATAACCACCCCTGAAAATGATAGAATAAAAAGTAAATTTTCAATTATTACCAGATATTTTCCAGAGACAATCTTTTCTGGAGATATCCAACGCTTACCACTCTTGGTAAAGGATTACCAAGCCCTTTACAGATATAAACAAATGGTTCACCATGATTAATGGATAAATTTGATGCCAAGTTTTCAAGAAATTTTGGCGGAGCTTAAAAATGAGAGGTTTATAAATGTCTTGAGAATGCTCATTTCATGCTTTTAAAGTGAGAAAGAATGCTCATTCTTGTTTTTACCAGAATAATATTAACTTAATTATTCATAGGGTGGTAAAAAACAGTGTAAGTTTAGTAAATAACATTGGTAAAAACTGTTAACGTCAACTAATGCTTAGATTTAATTTAATAAGGGACGAAACACTATGTCGACAGCGTGATATAGTTCACATAAATAATATAGATCGTATCTGTTCACCGAATCGAAAATCAGTCAGTATATTGATTCCACGATTGTAAGTTAATTATTAAATATACCTAAGACGTCGAGTGTGAAATGCCATGTTTTTCTAGTGCTATTTCCGTCGTGACATTCACCATGACAATAATAAAATCCGCTATTTTCCAATCGCGTTCGTTCTAATTTAACATATGCAACAGATAAA